AAAAAAAACTAAATGCATTTAGAATGCATATACTAATTTTATTTTTTTAGCAATACAAACATTCAGAAGAAATATGAAATATATATGGTAAGGGCCGGTTACAGAGCTGGTGTGGCAGAATGTTTAGAATTTAGTGACACACCGAGCAACACAATCTAGAAATGGCAAAACTTTTAGAATTTAGAACATGCACTAGAAGCAGAATTTAAAAGGGCAATAGTGAGCAAAATTTAGGATCTACAGATATAAATTTAATATTCCATGTGGTTTTACCAGGTGTAAAAATGCATAGCGTCAGACCTGTGTATGATGCATTAAGACATACTAGATGAATCTTTTAAATTGCCACTTTCCGATTTCTTTATTAATCAAAGAATTCCTTTCTATAATGCCTGTCCATGTGATACGATTAGAAGCATTTTTAATATTTCCCATGCTCGTGTCTAGTGAAAAAAAGAGAAAATAAAGGAAAAATAAGCATGTTAAAAAAAAAAAAAAAAAAAAAAAAAAGACTCTAGTTTCAGAAGTAAAATGTTCAAATATTATGTTTTCATTGTTCTTCCAGATGTTCCCCAAAAAGTAAGAAATTCATTGCACATTTTCTGTAAAATACATCCATTATCTGTACATTTTTACACATAGACATTTTTCATTTTGTCACACTTTTCTGGAACCTTCTAGAATCGTGGGTCTATAAATCTTGCCTTAAAATCCTTCTAAACTTTCCAAGTTGCATCCTTCTTCAATTTGTAATGTCTACTGTCCCAAAGAAAAATTACCCCTACCAATTTTGTAACACCAAACAGCCAGAAATCTTTTGAAAAAAAAAAAAAAAAAAAATCAGATTTAAAAAGCTTAAAATTAATTTTATAGAGAAAACTGATGCATACTCTGAGAATTCTGAATATTATGAGACAATTACATGAGAAAATTCTTATCATGAAAAAATTAAAAAGAAAATATTTTTAATTACTTACATACCTATTTTGCTTTTGCTAAGAACCGTTTCGTAAATTGTGCATTATACCTTGTTTATTTTTCAGATTCAAAATATTATATAATAAGTGGCCAAAATAGAACTTTATAATGAGACAGCAAAAAATAAAAATATTATATTTTAATGTTATTTTTAAAATAGAATTTCAATATACGAGGATTGGAACTTCAATAGTGGCAACACAGCTGAAAAAACGCTACACAACAAAACCAAAGAATATCGCGTATACCACATGTGAAATACATATTTACCTTACCTCTCGGCAAAAAGACTCGTCCTGCCTATGCCATGCGCATGCGGAGTGACGAGAAGAATGGATCCTTGTATTAGCTCGCGGTCTAAAGTAAGTGTTGTCAGGATGTTTTCAAAACAAGAACAACGATGTTGGATAAAAATTGAATGTGCCAGAGGTCGTACAGCACGACAGTGTCATCAAGGGCTTCAAGAGGCTTGCGAGGAATGTGCATTGCCTTATAGAAATGTAGCAATGTGGGTGAAAGCATTCAATGAAGGACGCCAAAACGTGGCAGACATGCTGCGGCCAAGTCGTCTGAGTGTCAGCGATGCAGACGTGCAGGCTGTTGCCGCACTAATGGACAGAGATCGCCGCCAAACGATATGTCAGCTGGCCGGACAAACAGGATTAGCGCATACGACTGTGCTGCACATTCTTGAAGGAACGCCTGTCCATGAGAAAAATTGCTTCACGATGGGTTCCACATCAATTGACGAAAATGCAGAAATGGCCACGATACGATGCTGCCCGAACCCACCTGAAGCACTATGAGCGCAAAGGAGATGCCTTTTATGCCGTATCATTATGCTGGATGAGACTTAGGCCTGATCGTACCAGCCAGAACTGAAATGCCAATCAAACGAATGGCGTTCACCACGACGTTTGAAATTTCGTCAGAATTCCAGCAATGTGAAAGTTATGGTGATTCTCGTGTACGACTGTGATGGTGTCATCCTAAAGCATACCGTTACTGCACAGTATTACTGCTAGTTTTTGGAGCACAATCTCCGACCAGCTTTGAGAAAAAAAACGGCGACACTTTCTGCAGAACGCTCCTCTCATTTTGACATTGCTCGGCCGCATGCAGCGCAAGCTGTGACTGATTTGTTCAAGTGATGGGGCTGGGGAGTGCTTTACCATCCACCATACTCCCCAGATCTAAGCCCTTGTGACTATGACTTAATTCCTAAGATAAAGGAACCACTTCGTGGCACTCGCTTCCAAACTGTTCCTGAGATTCTTGTGGCAGTAGACCGGTCCATTCAAATTATCAACAAAAACAGGCGCTGCTACAGGTATTCTGCGACTTCCACATCGTTGGAAACGGGTTGTACACAATGCTGGCGACTATTATTAAGGACTGTAAAACATGGTGACATGAATCACTTTTGTATTTCTTGTAAATAAATAGTTGCCACTATTAAAGTTCCAATCCTCGTATTACCATTATTTAAATGAAACATATCAATGTTACAACTTTTTAAAAAAAATCGTCGAAAAATTGCCAGATCTTGGAATTAAAAATTTACTATAGAAACTGAATAGAGCCGTCCCATCCAAGCGAAAAGTTATTTAGAATCTCTTCATTAGAAAAAGTGAAACAATTTCGAAATGCTTATGTTTCATTTCTTGCTTAGAAACTCGAGTATCCCACCATTTATATTAGAAATAGGAACACATTATAACCCATTCAAAAGATAACCATATTTATCAGTGAATCGACAAAAATATACCTCCAAAATGGCAATTCGCACTCAAAATTTCAGTCATACAAACAGACAGAAATTTCACATGATTAAAATTAAGGACTGTTTCCCAATTTTGATGAAATTAAGGACTTTTAAGGACCAAAAAACAATCCCAAAAAACTTAAGGACTTTTAAGGATTCTTAAGGACCGTACGAACCCTGTACATTGGCCAAACTAAAAGAGACTTAAAATTTTGCGTTATGGAACATGAGGCATATGTTAGAAAAAAGGAAACACAAAAGTCTTCTGTTGCCCAACATTGTTGGTCTGAAAATCACACTTTCAATTTTTCCGCTGCCAAAATTATCCAAAACACATCTTCCATTGGTGAACTGGATTTTCTAGAGGCATTTCATATACAAAAAAATCTTTCTGTTCTAGTTAACGACCCTAATTCCAATCCATCTTTGCCTTCAGCCTTTAAAGGAACTATGTTTTAGTTCTGGTTTCATCAACAGATGGCGCCAGTAGCTTATCTCCTGTCCAGGCTTTCGTATCTTATCTTATCTAATCATATATCTTATCTTGTTCATTAGCACTTTTGCAGCTGACGATGGTGGTTCAGTTAAATCATCGAAACTAGTCCTGTGAAAATTTGAAAATAAAAATGCTTATTTTTGTTGTTTGATTTCTAAATTAATTTAAAAGTTGTATAAGTGAGGATAAGCCTTTTTTTTTTTTTTTAACCACAGCAGCAATATTTGTTTATCATTTGAAACTTAGCAGAATAGTGAATTAATTTTTTTGCACCTTCTGTGTCTTTTTGTCAAGTGGAACCAAAAGGAAACTTTTAGTTTGGTGCACCGAAAATCTGTCGTTCTGCCTGCTGGCTGAATTGCAAGCAATTTTAATTGTAAAAATTGTTTTTTAATCGTTTTAAATGTGCTTAGTGCTTTATGTTTTTCTATATCTTTAAATTTTTAATGAAAATATTTTGAGTTTTAATGTATTTTTGCTTTGCCTCAAAGTGAGAACAAAATTAATTGAGTGAGAAATATATCTCTAATGAAATTCGAGGAAATAAGTGTTTTGCATTACCAGCAAATATTGTTGACAGTCTGTCTTGGAGAAAGGAGAATGTTTACAAGTAGCACATGCACATGAGGTACGCAGCGTTGAATCGTCTGTGAAAAACTGTTTCTTTTTATTATTTGTTTAATTTCTTTTATGCATAACTTTTGGTTTATTATAGTATTTGAATAAAACATGTGGCAATGATTAGGTAATTCATCAAATGATATAATTTTTGTGCATTCTGAGTTATGAATGAAATGTAATGCTGTTACATGAACTTAGCGTCAGAGTGTCGCTATGGTAAACAAATATACTGAATTTGAAAGTGTGCATTTATTCTATTGTGGTTTATGCACTATCGACAAAGTAGTTTAAATTCAGTTCAATAAGTTTATATGAAATGCAGGAAAAATGCACATAATTTAATACTCTATATGAGAAACTGTGGTGTAAACATCAGCTTTTTAATTAAAATTTTCCAAAGATATTCGTGCATATTGGCACATTTTGAAATTTGCCATATTTGTTATAAGTGATAATTATGGCAAATATGGTTTACACACTTTTTTAAAATTATTTGAGAAAACGAACATTTCTATTCTTCCTCGTGCACAATGAAAGGGAAAGAAAAATTGGTTACCATAAATTAAGAATTTTGCCAAGTGAATAATTTTTGGCACAAAATTAAAAAAGTGCACCTGGATAAATGTTTAAATTTCTTGGTAAGTTTCTCACCAAATTTTGCAAAATTTAACATTCAGGCTTAATTTGAGTCATTGAATTGAAATATGGAAAAAAGATATCTCAATTCATAAAAGTCCAGTTTTGTGTCAGAATACCTATGTTAGAACAATGTTGTATATAAATGTATATTCTATACCATTTTTTTGGTGCAAGGTGTACATGTTAAATTACTCGATATATGACTATATCTGTATTCAGTATGTAAATGCAAACTCAGAGCTCTTATGTATGCGTATGATCCTAAATTGTCATGGATTCTTAGTTGACGATTCTTCAAACATACATGCATGATAACCGAAATCTATTAAAATAAGCAATAATTTGAAGGCATTACTTATACTTTTTTATTCTCATAAATGGCAATATATTAAAAATCCTGAAAGCAATAAATATACTTTAAAGTTAATATTTTAAACTAGGTTATTTATTTTAAAATCAGATAGAAATGAACTAATATTCAAAGTGGAGTTAATATCTTACCTCTTCCAAATAACGAACATTTTCTATTAAATATTCCATTGACGCATTCTTCAGTCTAGATGCCTATTAAATTGAGCATTTAATAATAAATCTTCACAGAAATTTCAAAGATAAAATTTTTAATTATTACATAAAAATAATAACAATGCACTAAATATACACTTACAGTATCTCCTAACTTGTTCATAATTTCAGGAATACATTTATCAACAAGAAAATTTGTTTCTGATTTAGATACTCTAAAGTGAAAAAGAATAACATAAATTGTTACTACATATTTAATCACTTTTACATCCAACATGTGATAAGAATTTAATAAAAAAATTGACTGAGATAATTTAAAATAAAAAAGGATGATATAAATTGGGCAGTAGGAACTTAATTCCCTTTTAAATGAAACATAAAATGATGTATTGTGTAAGTGAAAATGTGATAAAAAAGATTACACGAAAATTTGAAATATTTCTACAAGACATATTCTTAAAAGGGCCTAACCAATTTGTACATATCTGTGCTGTGTATATAATAATTGTTGTGTCACATTGTAATGAAAAAAATTTCCTTCCTTTCATTTTTCACATTTCTTCTTTTTTTCTTATCCTGGGGGGGAGGGATTGTTTTTGCTATTTTTTTAAGATACTCAAAGGTCAATCACATTGGATTAGTCTCAATATGTGTGGATCAAAATGGACTACAGACTGACTATATATATTATATGACAAAAGAATCTTGCATAGCATGACATGAAATTTCAAAAGTTAAATTTTTATTTTATATTTTTCAAATAAATGCATGCCAATTACATTATTTGTAATAACTATTTGTAGCAGGAAGATTCCTTTTGACTTTGCCCTGCATTAAATTTATGGTGACGATTGTTGTTTTTGTTAGAGCAACGATTTCATTAGAGCTTGTTTCATCTGCCTTTTCATTATTCTGTTTTATTGTATATCTAAAGAACATTAAAAATGCCTGAATGCTGAAACTGCCCATAATCATAATAATGATCAGTTTTATGAATGATCACGATAATGCACCACTCAAAAAAGGAATATCAAGAATATGCGTAATCATCAGGAAGCATTGAACTTTTAATGTACAAATACATACCCAAACAAATGTCAATTTGCATAATGTAGAGAAAAAATTTCATGATAAATAGCAATAACAAAAATAAATATTCAGTAAAAGCAATGTTTCTTAATTTAAAAAAAAAAAAAAAAAAGATGATGGGATTTAAAAAAAAAATCCTCTGTTATTATTATTTGATTAAAAATTAGAAATCTTGCATAAAAAAGTTACAACATTTAGAAATATATATACATCATATACTTACTGATTCTGTGGTATGAAATGCTTAAAACACTCAGTAAGGATATTCAGTGCTGCTGCATAAATCTGAAGGTAATTTTAATTCAACAAATTAGTTTAAGCATATTTTAATAAATTCTCACACAACAAAAATGGAATTTTTTTATTTAATATTTCACTAAAATCCACAAACTTACAGAATGCACATTATCAAAAAATGCTCTTTGAATGAGAATTGATACTGCTCGGATAACTTCATTCGGTGCGTGAGATTTCCCTTTCTTCTGATATTTTTCTAAATAAGCAGATATGTTTTTCATAGATTCTTCTCGCTGTTTAAATGCTTTAGAATACATTTTTTCTACCTATGTAACAGAAAACAGAAGTTAATTTCAGAAAACATGATTAAGAATTAAAATTATTTCTAATGATTTTTCTCGTAATAAATTTCTATAATGTTAACCAGCTCTATTCCAAACACTTCAATGGGTAATGATGCTTCTCTTCTTTCTTTTTCAGTCAGTTTTCCTAATGGTGAATCACCAAGAGTTTCAGCATCAGTTCCAGGAAATACTGAAGGCTGAGTCTTGGCTCTACAATTTAATAATTTCCATGTTAAAATAACAATGAACATTTACTCATATATTAAATATACAGTCAATTTTATATACTTTTCCATTGACAATTTATAACAAACAAAAGCTATCACCAAACAATGCAACACAATTTAGCATCAACACTGGATAAGCATAGCATTACAATAAACTCATAGAATCTTCTCTTTTGTTTTATGTAATCCTAATTAATTCTCAATATATGGTTTATTTTTGGTAAAGAAGAGTATAAACCAGTTTCTTTTTTGTAAAGAAGAATACAAGTAAACTACTATTTCTCTGATTTTCCCTCATGGTTTGATAAAAATCATTAAAATGTTGTACCTGCCTTCTACAGAATAGCAAGCAGTGGAATATTATTAAAGTTAGATCTTGACATGAGAAAAAGTGTGCATTAATGAGCAATATATGGTATTCTACACTCATGTCCATAAATTAAGGATAATTTGGAGTCACGCGGAAATTGAACTCTAAAATAAATATATCACCTGTAAAATCACTACACACATCTTCAAGAATCATATGCAAATTTCAGGAAGTAACCAGATGACATTGATGGTACGTCATAATGACAAGAGTGTAAGAGAGTGATATATAAGGAATACAGGAAAAGAAGTAAAATTGTTCACATGCCCTTTATAAGCATTTCAGTGCAATAACCGAATAGTTATGACACAAAGGACGCTTTTGGATAATTTTTTACGTGGTAGAATTATCGGCCGTCTGGAATGTGGGTGTACCTAACTGGAAGTATCAGACGAACTTGGAATTGCCCAGAGCCATCCAGGCTTTGGCAACGATGAGAAAAAATCGCTAATTTTTTTAATAATATCAAACATATAGCATCTTTTTTTGCTCTTTACCTTTTGTTTAATAAATAAGCTTTACAAATAAGTCAAATTTGTTTTGCTTCTAACTCTTCCTTTGCCTGATTTTGCATTATCCTTAATTAATGACATGAGTGTATTTGGAAATAGATAAACAATGGCAATGCTATGGAAAAAATTGTGAATATCTATTTTATAGTGTGATTATACCAAATAGTGCAACATGTATCCGTTGATTATCTAACTAAATAATAAGTAAGCTGTTCTTTCAAACTTCAGCCATAATGACTGGCACAAATTTGACAGGATCTCTATTAATATTTTTGGTCAATTGGAAAATATATACCGTATTTTTCAGCATATAATGCGCACCCGTGTATAACGCACATCTATAATGTCAAGCTACATTTTTTAAACTTTTAAGTATATTCTTTGTATAACAGACAATTCTTCACGAAGATATATGTGCAGTGTTCAAATTTTTTTAGGTCACTAATTCAAACATTTGTTCTAACCTTTTGAAAAATGGTAAATCACATTGACAAGCGATAAGGGAACAATATGTGTGGGTTAAATGCTTGAGGGAGTAGATATTCACGCAAAGAGAGTGAGTTGTATTCTATGCAGCTGTCCAAAAGAATGCTATTGTAGAGCACTTCCAACATGAATGAATTCGTGGAATTAGAAGTTAGATGTTTTTTCTCTTTCTGTAGTCATTTGGAGCTCATGTTGAAGTGAAAATCAAAGGCTTTAGTTAAAATACAGTTGATCTAGTGCTAGTTTTAGTAGTAAATATGTTAATAAGTTTTTCTTAATTAAAACTTAATGCTAATCTTACCACCATGTAACTAAAGAGAGGCAGATATAATATGGAAGCATCATTAAGTTTTGTTTCCTGTGGAATGATGGAAATGTATCTATATAAAGTATAAAAATACAAAAAAGGGAAAAGATTTTTTTTTTTTCTTTTTTTTTTTTTCTTTTTTCTTTTTTCTTTCTTTTTTTTAATATATTTGAGAAAAAGCTTAAATGCCATTAATTTTTACTCAGATAGTTTCAACACATAAAATGTACAATTAGCATATTTTAAAAGTAAAAAGTAATTTTAAAAAATGATTATACATGGTATTTTTATATTAAATACTAATTCTATCTCTAAAGAAGGAATTCTTCCCAGAACTATATTTAGTTTACAGGAGATTTATAATTTAATTTATAGGAGATAAAAATAGGATATTTTTAAAAGATACCATGCAAATCATGCTAAATCAAAACAAATCATGTAATACGAAAAATGCGTTAAACCAAAATTGTGTGTCCACATAAAAACAGAATGTGTCAATACAGTTTAGATATGTAAATTTGCATTTTTTTCTCCTTTTGTCAGAGGAGATTGAAAGGGAACTTAAAAGACATGTTATTATTTCAGACATATAAATTGGTAGCAGAGAGACAATTAGTAACTAATAAAACATACTTTTTCAAAGCTTGTACTGGTTTTTCTTCAACACTGACATAATTTCCAACCATGGGAGCCAAGATTTCATCAGGTGGTTTTGCACTACCTTTTCCAATGACTTGAAATTTTTATTATTTTATGATTATATACATTAAAAAAGTACACAAATACAATTTAATCATCTTTAAAATATTTTATACTGCTACCTAATATTGGTACATCTCTACCTTAATTAAAGATGAGAAATATTAATTCTATTTCAGCAAAAAATGTGGACTTATTTACATTTTTCAGAGTGGATGGAGGAATAATTAAAATAAACATGTCAAGAACATACACGCAGTTTACAAAATTTCTAAAATGCCAAACGTTTCGTATATATATTTTGAATTTTAGATTTTGAATGATTTAAAAACTATTCAAAACCAAAATTAACAAGTGTTATAATATTTCTTTCTTTCTGCCTTAAATTACCTTTCTCACACAGGTTTTTATTTGGATTCTCCTTTGTTTTGTATATTTTAACTTCAATAACGTTTTCAGTTCTGTTGTACTAATTAGGGAAAAGAACTAGAAAATTAACTGGAACAAAATCAAAAAGGAAATGATTAAAAATAATTAAAAAATGCTACACTGTTTATACCTTATTGATTGTTTTTAGATTTTAGTAAGAAGTTTCTAATTTACGTTGCAGCTTCTTACACACACACACACACACAACCCAATATGAAGAAAATATTTGGCCCCCCTTTTTTTTTTCTTTTCTTTTAACTTAGGAAGGTTTATTTTAGCTAACACCTTAATTTTTGAACCTTCTATTTTTACCATCAGCCATCATCAGTAAATGAGTTTAAATAGCGAGTGAATTTGAAATTTAGAGAGGATTGTGGCAACCTGCCAAAATACTTATTCTCTGAAATGTCCACCTGCATATCAAAATGGGTTTTGGAGAGTGATTTTGAATTTGTTAGCATGTGGGACTACATGCCATGATAGCTACGACTAGATTTGTTAGGCACTGAAGTATTTGCTATTTTGTACATATTCTTGAAGTCTTTGAATTTCTAACATGTTACAAGTAATAGTGACTGTTTTTGTTAAATTTTAATTGTACCCACAAAACACAGATTTAAATAAGACTTTTTTTTTTTTTTTTTTTTTTTTTTTTTTTTTGTCTCTTTCTAGCATTTAAACCTTTAGTTGACTGCAAAGATGAGAATTTGTTTGAAATATTAAACTTAAAAAAAAAAAAAAAAGATATATTTACTGAAAGTTAAATATATGCAGTTTAACAGGCTTATAGGTTAAAAACTTAAAAAAAATTACCCACTTCCCTTTATTTTTAGATGTAACTATGTTTAATTACATTAACTCTATCTCTTATATCCATGTAGTAAGTAAACAACTTATTATTTAATATCTTACTTCCAATCTGTTTTATAAAATTTTTTATTCCATAGCAATTAATAGAATATTTGAAAACTTTTTTTCCCTTATTTATTTCCTTTTTTAGCACGTTCTTCATTAATATAAAGTACATATTAAAAAAATTAGATTGACTGAATTTGATTTGTATTAGCTTCACAATTTTGATAAGTTTGACACAGTACATTACACACGGAGTATGTCAAAAATGTGAAGCAAAGTAAAAAAGAAGTATTAAAGCCTTAACACATGCAATTTTTTCTTTGTGTTCAAGATGCATACAGAACTAGAATTACTAGAATTATTATCTTGACGAAAAATAAAATTCTATATTTTAATGTTAGTTGCTACGTGATGTATATGCCATAAAATGTGTTAACTGCCATAAAATTGGATATGTTTAAGACAGATATGGATTAGTTTACCATTTTTAAACTTGTTGCAGGTGCAAAACAAAACACTGCTAATCAAACTTTAAGATCAAAAATCAGCTATTGCCATTTTACAGGCAGACTTCGCCTCCCCCCCAAAAAAATTATGCCACACCACAACAGATCATACCCTAAAGTGCACTATCCTGCAGTGTAATATGAAAGTTATGATACAGCATACAATTAAAGATGGAAAAAAAAAAAAAAGAATGATCTTTAGATTTTAGAAAATGGGAAGATTACAAAATAAATGGTGAAGACAGAAGGCTACATGATGTTGACAGAAAATAGAATCAAACAGCTAAGCAGACCATAGTTGATCGTGATGATTAGTTGAATGAGGTTGATAACACAGCTTGTTAAATGAAAGCTAATGACTTAATGCGCAATCTTTGCGTGCAAAAGACCTGAAAGAAAGAAGAAAAAAAAAAAAGAGAGAGAGAGAGAGATGAAGGTGGAAAAGAAAGGAGGGGGGCTGTTGACATAATGGAGGTTTTTTTTTTAGATGGAAAAGTCTTCATCAGGGATGACAAAAATCTGTGCTTACGTTTGCTACGTTTATTAAGTTAATAATGTTTTTTCTACATTCTTTTCTTTCCATACAGAATGCTAAATATTTTGATGTTATTTGTGATAAATGACAAATGCTAGGGTAATTTTTTTAAAATTCAACACTGGATATTAGTGTGGAAGCAATTCATCACAAACAGTCAAACATTGACTCTCTCTTGACTCTCTGACAACCTTAACTTAACTCTTGATTTGTCTACAAAAACATTGGAACTTGGAATACAATGAAAAGAATGCATATGAAAATGGCAACATTGCTTGAGTAAAGAATTATTATGAGCATGACTTCCTGAAGAATGTTTATGTGCATGGTTGCCATAGTTTGGCCCATTCCGAAAATTTGGCGACTTCTACTTAAGTGGGTGGTTGTGATAATACATGAGTACCCTTTTCTCAGAAGCATTATATTACATGCAATTAACATATGAATTTAATAGCTGACACTTACAATCCCGATCATTTTCTTCAAGAACTTGCTGCAAAACAGAGAATAAAAATAAGTGATAAAAAGCTACAGCATAAAAAGATTAAAAACATTTTTAAATATTAATAACAGGGAAATGTTAAGATTTATACCCCATCTATTTCCATTAAAGTGGTTATATTCATTCTTTCATAAGTCTGAAGTCTAAGTTTTTCCATTTCTTCATTTTTTATATGAGCTTGATCATAGTCTTCCTCTTCTACAGCTTTCTCTTTCAGAATATCCAGTTTGCCCAATTTTTCGCCAACCTGAAAATATTTAATTAAAAAATTGCAAAAATGAGATCAATAAATATCAAATCTAATGAAAGGTAAAACATTTCAAAAGAAGAGAAGAAAAATAAAAGCATAACTTTGTAACTTACTTTCATTAACTGATTTATAGCATATTTCAACTTTTTAGCATAAACAAATCTGTCATCTGAAAAGAGAAGAATGAACTGAAATTTAATATTTATAATCTTAAAAAAATTTCTATATTTACGTGAAATTTGGAAGTTTAATAGTAACAACTATTTTATTTACAACTTATACAAAAGAGATATTGGTATTCTCACAACAGATGACCTACCACCCATTAAGTATCATCAAAAACAAAGAAACTAATACCATTACCATACTAAATCACACAGAAAAAGCAGCAGCCCACAAATAAATGAATGCATACAAATTGCATATACTTACTTTTAATACATTACTTTATTACATGAAATTATACAACATTATCAGAAGAATATACTGATGTAGTCCTGAAGACGATCTACCATATCCTTTTATGGTCATCATTGTAAACACACTGAAAAGACAGTTCAAGTGATCTTATTTGGCATCTGTCAATTGAAGCAGTCCTGTTTCATATCTATCAATGCTCATAATTTTACTGCTATAATTAGACATAAAGCAACACTGATAGCCATCTTATTTTTCCTTCACACAAACACTGTCCTGATGTCTCTTAAGATGGGCAGAAAATTGTCCCACTGTTAATAGTTTGACAGCATAATTCATGTGATATGGCAGGATTGCGAGTTTTGTTCACTTCATATTCTGTAAGATTATTACGATGATCCCAGAGACATTTTATCATTTGAGTGTTAATGCAATCACAAGATCAACACAATTCATCTAATAATTTAGCATCAGGTGGCTGTATAACATTTCATACTCAAAAGAAACATTTGCTCACATTTGAGCCACTGGGCCTTATCTATGTGACACTACTGTGACATCTCCGAAGAAGTTTTATTGTCTATCAATGTGATCACTAGCATTACGTATATGCCATTGCTAGTTGATATGGCAGTCATAATATATCAGCGGCAACATCTGCTTTGTGAGTGGATCTATTATTTTAGGAATCAAATCATAATCAAATTAGTTTATGTACAGTATGGTAGATGATAGAGCAGTTTTCATCCCAGTCAAGCAAATCAATCAGCCGGAGCTTACATTATGTGCACCTGAACAATGATTTTAAGAATGACACAAGGATTTTATAGAAAGTATTGCCTTTTCTTCTGCGATGTTGATTGCAGCTTTCAAAAATGGAAACTAATATGCACACTGACAAAGTGGCCTTGAGGTATGGTACACTGTGTAAAAAAAAAGGGGGACAGTTCTATATCATGCATTCTGGTGGGCCAAATGACAACATTCAACTTGTGTTTTTCATGTCTTGAAAGAGCGACTCAGGATATATATTATATTTATAGATGGCATTGTTCTAATAAAGGTATTTTGACACAAAATCGGACTTTTCTGATATCACATACCATTTTTTTACCATATTTCCATTCTATGATTCAAATCATACCAAAGTGCCAAGTTTTATAAAAATCTCAGGAGTAGTTTTTAAAAAATTAGCTCACAAAATTTTAGCTCCCGCCATGTTAATTAAATTTGGTATATTTATTACTATCTCTATAATTTGGTATATTTATCTATAATTTATATAGTATATATCTATAATTTATCTATAATTTGGTATATTTAAAGGTATATTTATTACTTTCTTATTAAACCTATTTGATTTGTCCTTTAACATTTGAAAATTTAGGTTCATTCCAAATAAAATTCGTCCACTTTTATGATTTTTTTTAAAATTTGCATTTTAAAATAATTTTTACACATGTTTTGAAAATTTTTTTAATTATAACCTATAAAATTTTTACCACTATTTTAAAGAAGATGCATTTCTAAGCAACCTTGGGAAAAATTAGAGTTTTTTATTCAAAATTTCCTATGATATATGTGAATTTACATTTTGGCATGTTTTGAAGTTTGGCATATTCCTTAGAAGCGATAATAATGCCAAATGCGGTTTATGCATTTTTTAAAAATTATTTGAAAGTATGAACAATGACCTTTTTTACGCTCATGTAAAATGGAAAAAAAGGAAAGGACAGTAGGTTGCTATACATTAAGAATTTTACAAATTGAATTATTCTTGTTTCAAACTGAAAAAATGCACCAACATGAATTTTCAAATTACTCCATAAATTTCTCACCAAAAATTGCAAAATTTAATATCTAGCCATAATTTCAGTCATAGAAGCAAAACATGAAGTAAAAACTGGTATGTTATAGAGTTAAAAGTCTTTAATCCGGATGTCCATAATCCGGAATGATCTATAATCCAGACCTCTAAGCTACAAACATTCTGCGCATGCGTCAACGCATAATGCGTCCATGCATGCGCATAATATGTTTACGCATGTGCGTTTAATGTATAAGAGACGGTATAAGCTAAGCTAAAATTATCTAATTATCTATTTCAGTTAAAGTTGCAGATTGCGTTGTTCCTTAATCTTCTAATTGGATCCGCCTTATTATTTTTTGCACACTGTTAGAGCAATTTTATAAAAGTAAGCTTGAACTTTCGATTATGTCAAAAAGAATTTCCAATTCTGGAGCCACTAAAGGATCTACAAAGCGAAAGCATGTTTCGATGTCCATCAAACAAAAAGTGGAATTGCTGAAAAAAATGGATAAAGGCATATCCTTTGTTTCTCTAACCATTCTGAAATCTGTTTATCAATTTCACGCTGCTCTGCGGGGGAGGGGAATGTCGCAGTGCACAATGAACTGGAAGTTGATCTGTCAGCACTATCCTTATCTTCAGGGCAGATGTTTTTATTTTATTTGGCTTATAGTTCATTACTAAATGTAGTATTTCATCTCGATGTACTCTGTCTTTGATATAATTTAAATCAGATTCATTATAAATATCACAAATACACATCAAATAGTTTTCTGGTTGCAATTTTCTAATTTCGACTATGCGTAATGTATGCTTTACGCATGCGTGCGTTGAAAGAAATGTTTAATAAAGTAAACAAATAAATATTAAGCTTTATTTTTGTAAATTTTGATACCCTTTAGATCATAATTGCTCTTTATTTCATAAATTGCGATTTCATATTTTTAATTTTATAATTTCAGCATGCCATCTTACCAGATTTAAACTGATGATCTATAATCCGGAATCGCCAAAGTCCAGACGAGTCCGGATTAAAGACTTTTGACTGTATTAGAAAAAGCCCGATTTTTTTGTCAAAATACCTATGTTAAAACAATGCTATATATAAATCTAATATATATTTTAAGTCACACTTAAAGCCATCACAGTCATATACAAGAATCACTGTAACTTTCCTACTGCAGGAATTCTGATGCACTTTTGATTTTCATGGTCGCTGGTAATGATATCATGTTTTTGACTGGCATTTCAATTTTGACTCATGATCTAGCTCATCCAGTCCAATGATACAGCATAAGAAAACCTCTCCTTTATGCTTGTAGAGCTGAGGAGAATTTTATCACTGCAATTTCAACATATCCAACATATCTGTTATTTCTACTTTAAGAATATTGTTGTTATAAAACTTTATGCTACCAATTCACATTAGATTTTATTCTTCTTACTACAGTACATGCATGTAGAGTTGGAAGAGATAGCCTGTTAATTGTGAAGTCAGTTTACTGAATTAACAAGGTGTCAAGTGGTATAAATGAATGGTAACTGGTTCTGCTTGATGGTGTATAAAGCGTAGCATTGCCACTATTAAAGTTGCAACCTATATATTTTTACTGGCTTTAATTTATTGAGCTTAATTTAAATATGTACCTTAAGCTTCTAAGTGAAAACAAAATGTTTATTATGCAATGCTCATTAAATGTTAGACTAAAGATACAATTAGTTTCCTCCACATTTTTTAATTATCTATATTGATAGCATGAACTCACAGGAAATTATAATTAATGCTAGGTTCTATATATTGCTTTCAGGACGATGCAAAAGTAATTCAAGTTGCACATTTATTCATAATTTGTAAATAAAACTTTATAATATCAATTTATCCTTATATTTTGAAAGCACATAATTGTTCTTCCTCTTCGAACATTGAAGAATGGAACTTAAAAAAAAATTACATTTTTGCAATGCAAATAAGACATAAATCTAATGTCACAATATTAAAACCAACCTCAGGTATTAGTACTGACATAACCAGAAAAATTTCATAAGAATATTAATGGCAATAATAAATTCCTAGCATTCTGTTTCTTACCTAATACAGCTTTCTGCTTCTTTTTATCAAGAGTTTTGATTAGTTGTTGCACTTCGAGATCAATGTACATTGTGAATGAGAGTTCCTCAAGTTCTGACTTTTTTGTTCTGAAAAAATTAGTAGTATGACAAAAAGCATAATTTTTAAAGCAATGACGATAGAAACAAAATTATAAGACTGGAAATATGACATTACTAGCCATAATACTGTTTTTTAATATTATCTTTATTTACCTTATATTATCTTGATCTTATATTTAATCTGCTATAGGTATGCACATAGAAATTTTGAATTTAATGTACAAAGCACTTATTTACTAATATTTTCATTTGCTTTTCTTTTAAACATACTTAGAGAATTATAAACTTTCTATTGGAGAGTAAAAATAAGTCATCAAGCTAAAGAAATTATTCAATATATAACGATTCCACCTAGAAATTTGTGTTGAACTTTTTACATAAAAAGTACAGACATTACACAAATGTATATAATAAGTTGCTTAAAAATAACTTCTAAAAAAGTACAATTAGCAAGTTTTGCCTGCTAACCAGATTAGAGTACTGAAATAAATTTCATGATTAATTTGATAATTTTGCCAAGTTAAGATTTTGGTGGGCTTAAGAGAGTAAGAACTAAGTATGTTAAATTCAGCTACTAGACTCAAGAATTAAACACAATAATACAATGTGATTGAAATGGTCAATGAATGACCTTTATCAGTTTTCAGTTGAGATCTTTGAATCCCATTTTCTTAGTTTTTGTGGGAAAAAAATAATCAAACTTTCCTCATAAATCTCTTTTCTATCCCTGGCACTCAACTTCTGGTTTACACAGTTAAATTCTCTATTTACAACTATCTATGACAAATGCTATTTTCTCCTTCTTTAAACTGCCTTATGCTAAGTGAAAACACATGCATTTGGACTTTGGAATTGTTTTATTAAAGAACATATTTCATTAACATTATAAAATTCATATTTCAAACAAGGATCATGCTGCAAGTAATTGTTTCCAGTACCATGGAAATTAATCTTCAGTGGACAACCAAACTAAGTTAGATGGACAATATGAGCTTTCTGCAGAAGTGGGCTGTGGGCATAATACTACATGGCGGAAGACTTAGGTTATTGGTAAAGCATGTAAAAAGTATGTATCTTGAAAGTTAACAGTGAGTGTGAAGGAGAAACAGTGTCAGTCATTTGCTCTGATTTGTAGCAGGCTTTTGGAGCCATTAAAGCCAGTACTGGAAGTGTGAACACAATAGAAAAACCATGCTGGAAGGTTCACAGTTATTACATGTCGGACAATAATGGATTCTCAGCAGCAACTGGCACAAAATTAGTATACATATTTTTTAAACAGGTGAAAGTGGAACTGCAAAAACTTCAATAGAAATAATTACAGACATCGTGGGAAACAGCATTAAATATTTACAGATGCTGGAAAGAATATTCAATGCAATGATCAAAAGAAGGTGAATAAGCTCATCAAATCTTAAATCACAAATATAATTTTGTTGATCCAGTTTTTAAAAATGCATACTTTGAACACCTAAAGGCTATGGGACAGCACCAAATGGCATGACAAGAAACAATAAAGTCTTTGAAATATAGCATTTGGACTGATTTTCTGAAGCACAAATCTTGTACAAAGAAAATTCATTCACATAAATATGGCGTATATTGTTTTTCAACCAGAAATAGCTATGCTATGGAACTATTTTTTACTATTTCATTTTTTTTTACATACAACCACAAGCACCAGCAAAAAATATAAGTTTTAAAAGTTCATCCTCCCTTTGTATTTGCATATAGCATTAAATCTTTTGAAGTTTCAACATGTCTGAATTATTTTGTTATTTTTAATTGTGCTTATTTCTGATGTTTTTCTCCCTGAAAAAGAATGTTTTCAAGAAAATATGTCCTGGGATAACCAATAAATACTAAACAGCTTCATTACCACTTGCATTTACTTCTTTTTCTCTGCCTTTTCCCCCATAGCTTCACTTGGTTTTACATATGATCATTGAGTACTATTTTCCTATTATGCTTTTCCTGCTATTTCTTTATAAAACAATTAATAATAACAACCAGAAGTATAATCTAAAGAATATGCTATGGACAGGATCCAAAAGCTATAATGACATCTATCAAATATTCCACAACAGAATTCAGTTATGTTCCCAGCAATAATAATTGACTGATGTAACTATTAACATAACTTTTTATGTAGCAACTGATGAAAATAAAATTGTACTAAGGCTGTCTGCACATTTTTTAGATGATTTTCACTGAATATACAGAAATAATTTATCTAAACTTCTAGTGTTTTAAATGTTCCATTTCATAACCCTCATTCTTCACTATCTTTCTACACTGTAATTTCCAAGACAATAACTTTTTTTTTTTTTTTTTAATCAGCGGAAGAGGTATTTTATCCCATTGCTCTTGAACAGCTCCCCAAAGTCCAAGGAGGGTTGTAGGTCGATGTCCAGGCAATCCTCTTTTTAAAAGTCCAAAAGCACGTACATCCATGGATGATGGATCAGGAGATTTAGTAGGGTTATGAGTAAAGGGTATGGCCTTAATACATGTTTCTTGTTGCATTTTTTTACAGGAAATTAACAGTGGATATTGACATGGGGCTGCTACCTTTCTTGATGCAGTTCTATGGATTGATGGCACTGTGAGTAAAGAAAATTCAAATTCAAAAAGGCATTTCACATTTGAAAATTGCTTATAAAATATGTTTCTGATAATATGTGGAGTCAATCATAACAGTTTCTTGCACTCTATTTATTTGTCTTTATATCAAAAAAATACAACAATTATAAATCCCTTTGAAAAACATTTAGATTCTTTGAACCACGTTCTAAGATTTTTTTTTTTTTCTGATAATAATAAATGGATCCCTTGTGGTCCTTTAAATATACCCAAGATTCATCTATTGTGAGTACATTTTTCCATTTTTGTCTGAATAATTTTTTCTCATGGAGAATTCTGCAGTGCGTTCTGCTCTCAGCGATATGTCATGGAAAAAGATGATGCACATTACCTTTTTTCGCCTTTTTAAGGTTCAAAACAGCATTAATAATTTTGTTTACAGTTGATACTGAGCATTTTAATGATTATGCAACTGCCCTCTGAATTCACACATACATGTTTCTTGTTGCATTTTTTTTACAGGAATACATGTTTCTTGTAATATTACATAAAATCAGGAAAGTGCACAAATTAACTTCATGGAACATGCGTTCTTATACTCTACAACTAGGCAAAATGCCATATTTCTGAAAAAGTGCAAAGTTTTATTTTTGATTAGGAGGCAAACTCCCCAGTGGTATTAAGACTGACTACAAGAAAAAAGAAACTCCATACACTTATCACAACAAGCAGAGACCACAAGCATGGCCCTCAAATTTAAAAACAGAGCATATTATGCCAGCACATAATGGACATGCAAACATAAATGGGTTGCCAGATAAATACATTTTCTTTTAACATTAAAGTTCTTAACTTTGCAACATTCAAAATATTCCGTTTTTTCCCTAGGATAAGTATTTTGAAAAATGTTTTCTCCTTAAAGCCAAACTTTGACGTTTTTTACTTTCGTATTGATAATATTATGTATCGTTGCTTTAGATACCGAAAAATCATGGCCTTCACAACATTTTTTAATAACTAAATAGGAAAAACTTTCTTTGGAAAAAGTACAAACATAGCCTTCCATCCACTGCTTCTTTAAAAGCACCATTTTGCTTGAAAGCTAAATGGTCAAATTTTACAATTGTCAAATAATTTATACTTTCAAAAATATAACTGCAGTTAAAGAAAATTTTTCCAGGTGGGGGATTTTTTTTAATAATAAAGCAAAGTTGTCTAAAAAATGTGTGAACAGCCTCTGTAGAAGTCAACAGCTTTCCATTAGTGTTTCACATAGTCATGTTACCTGCATAAGGTAAAGCAAAAGTTAGGTACTCTTTTAATGAAGTTCCTTGAAATTAGGTTTTATTTAAAGTTGGGTACATAGCTTTTTTTTATGTAAATTACTTTTTATAAGTCCATATGCCTTTGCAAACTGTGTGCTGCTAAAGGTAGAAACATGCACTGATTTTCATTTATGACTTACAGCATTCATAGAGTTTGCTGGTGTACAGAGTTATGTATTTTATCTTGAAGAGAACCTGCTTGCATATTCTAGTCAACAGTTTACATATTGCCCTGTAACTTTTCTGTTATCTCGGGTCACATTTATTTGATAGTAAAAGAGACATGCTTGTTGCTGTTTGCACTCATTTCTTTTTATCAATGCCTTTTACCATGGGTCTTTATTATTATTATTATTAATTCTCTTTGAACTTATATTTTCTTTTTTATGAACAATATGCAATTTCATAATAAAAAATTATTTCCAAGATGATATAACCATTAGTAGTGTTTTCGTCCTTTAACTAGCTACCTAAGAATTCTTGTTTCACTACAAAATAAAAAGTTACTTAAATGCATGCAATGCAAAAAATATTTGGTACTCTGCTTATTTGCCCAAACCTCCTGCAAAGTTGCCAATTATTGGCAAGTAACTTGCCAACTTGTGAAAAAAGTAGCCATTTTAAAAAAAGGCAATGCATTGAAAATTACATTAAACAGTAATGAATTAATAAAATTTAAACTGCAAGAAACACCCATAATGAAACACAAAAAATTACATAAAATGAATATCCATAATGAAATACTCAAAATTACATAAAAAGCAACAAATTAACTAAATTTTAAAATGCAACAAACATACATAATAAAACAGTTAATTTTCTTTTTCCCAGTCTTCTGCCCACATGTGCAGTGATCTTTTTCAACTTAAAAAACAAACATTAGAGAATTGCAGAATTCTCAGCATTGCAAAGTAATTTGGCACTGCTTTCCATGTACACATCAACTTGTTTTTACTTAAAGAAACATGAGAAAATTGCAGAATTCTAGGCATCATATAGCAACTTGGCACTGCTCTTCGTGTATACATCGACTTGCTTACATAAAATCAGGAAAGTGCACAAATTAACTTCATGGAACATGCATTCTTATACTCTACAACTAGGCAAAATGTCATATTTCTGAAAAAGTGCAACATTTTATTTTTGATTAGGAGGCAAACTTTCCAGTGGTATTAAGACTGACTACAAAAAAAAAAAGAAACTCCATACACTTATAACAACAAGCAGAGACCACAAGCATGGCCCTCAAATTTAAAAACAGAGCATATTATGCCAGCACATAATGGACATGCAAACATAAATGGGTTGCCAGATAAATACATTTTTAAAATTCTGGGTTGCCAGCTTTGGCAACACAGTGCTTAGCCCGGTGATTCTCCTTGGTTATCAAGGTTGTGGATAACCAGAGAGCACAAGTTTTAACACTAATTACATTACACAAAATCTAGAGAAAGCAGAAAAGACAAAATGAATTAAAAATAGCAGTTTTAAAAGAAGCTACAAATTACTAAAAACATACCTCAAATTCAAGAGATGATCATCAGACTGCATGAAAATATTTTATTTAATAAGCATACTATTAAAGCCACACATATCAATAGCATAATACTATGAAGTTTTTCAAAAAGAAAAAAAAAGGGGGGGGAGAGGGCACACAAAGATTTGCATTTTTAGATATTTACTATCCATATTAAACATGACTTCAAAAACCACTCTATAAGTGGCTTATTGATTGAAATACATCAAATTCCCACTGCTTATAAAAATTTTAGATACTTAAAAATATTCTATACATTCACAACATCGGAAATCAATTCTCTTCTTTCCAATAGATGACTGCAAAATTTAATAAAGGAAACATTGTGAAAATATTAAAGAAAAAGGAACTCACTAAATATTTGGCTTTGATAGAGCCTCCATCTAAAATAGTTTCTCCTATAATATTGATTGCTACAATTCCAACCTGAAATTTAAATTAAGCACAAATAATTAAACATTAAGCTTTAGCATATAACCTATAATTAGAATGTGAATACACAAATAACTTCTAAACTGAATACAAATATTTTGTATTACTCTAGATATCAAAGCACTAAATCTGAACAAACTTACTATATTCATTGGATAAAACAATGGATAAAATACTTCAGATCACCACCACAGACACTACTAAGCTGGCTGTATACTCACTGAACACACTTCAAAATTATACCTTCATGTTAGAGATACTCTGTATTTCTTTAAACTTAAGTTGTACTTTTTGCTCTAATTTAAATGTAGATAAAAGTAAGGTTTATCTTAGAAATGATAATGGTTTAGAAATACAGGTGTTTTTTTACTTCCTTGTACGAAGTAAAAAGGAAGTATTGTAATCGCGAAAAGTTTCAGGCAGCATATTTCAACGAAAATATCCATTTTGACCGCTATCGAATGCAATTTAACAATGTTTTTGTGTGATATCTGTACGTAAGGACAGAATAAAATACTTTTTTCCTTCAAAAAAATTATAAAACTGCTTTAAAATAAATTCTGAAGAGAATTTTTCGTGGTGTTACGAAAGTATGTACGTATCTCGCATAACTCAAAAACGAGTAGCCTCAGAATGTTGAAATTTTGTATATAGGACTGCTATAACATGTAGATGTGCACCTCGTATTTTGGTTGCAATCGGTCGGACCAAACGTATATAAATATATTTATATATATATCCACTCTGTTACCCGGCTCAGTGATCTCAGTTTCTTTACTCTTATATGTTTGTAAATTGTACATTTTTTGCTTTAAAAATGATTGAATTGTGTTGTTTCTATCTTCCGGTTAAGGATTTTATGTCTTTAGTAAATCGTGTGCAATATTTTTAGAATTATCAGCAATTTTAAAGTTGTTTAATTGCCGCTAAGCCTGTTTTTTAATGGCGGCCATTGATGTTTACATTTGAAACAGGAGACTAGTGGATTTGTTGCCAATCTAGAGAAACTTAGCTTTGCAACAACAAAGATAACACATTCATTTATTATTGCCAATTAAATCATGCTTAATTCTTTCTGGAATTTTTTAGAGGAAATAAAGTGTTTGAGATTTACTTCGTAATTTTTAATATATATATTTTGAGTTTTTATGTATTTTTGCCTTCTCGCGAAGTGAGAACTGAATTAATTAAATGAGAAATACACAATCGTCTGTGAAAAACTGTTTCTTTTTTGTTTTGTTTGCTTAATTTCTTTTAATACATCATTCTAGCTTTATTATAGTATTTGAATAGAACATGTGGCAACGATTAGATAATTCTATTCTTTAAATGATATAAAATTTTGTGCATTATGAGTTATATATGAATGAAATATAGTTGACTGTTATATAATTACTGGATTATATAACAGTTAACTTAGTTTCCATTATATAATTATTATATAAGTTAACTGTTATATAATTATTAATACTGTTAAGTGAATCTAGCGCCAGAGTGTCGCTATGGTAAACAAATACTAGAGTGAATTTTAAAGAATGCATTTATTCTATTGTGTTTATGCGCTGTCGGCGAAGTAGATTTAATTCAATCCAATAAGTTTAAATGGAATGCAAGAAAAAATGCGTATAATTTAATATTCCAATACAAGGAAGTCATGTGGTGTACACATCAGATTTTTTTATTAATTATTACTTATTCCAAAATAATAAAATTTTCTAAATTACTTATGGAAATGGAAATATTTTAAGAGAAAGCATTTAGTAAATGAATTTTACTTTTGATTTCATTCATTTTATTTTCTTAAAATCAAAATAATTTTCTTTTTTAATAAGACTAAAATTAAAAAGGGGCTTAGAATGTATGGTTAGGAAGTATGGCTTAGAATTTATGATGGCTTACAGATGAAGAAATACAGTGCATGAGTTCTGACAATAGAAACCTCCTCGAGCAATCCTTCAAACATTTCTGGACTATAGCATCAGGTTATGCTAACATAGACATATTTATCCAATAACTTTGGCAGGTGTTTCTGTTATATGAAACGAAATATATTTAATTTATCTCCCATGAACCTTCCCTATACAAGTTCTCGGAACACTGCCATTTGGTAAAATATAAGACTTATGAAATTTTTCTTTCAAATTTAATCAAAATTAGGGGAAAAAAGGAATTTTAGATTGGTATAAATTATGAAAAAAACTCCATTGAAACTCTCGGATCCTTCTCCTTCTTCAAAAGCAAAAAATTTTGTAAAGGAAGGAAAAATGACCACCATATTTATAAAGAAATTAACAGAAGAAACACAGCAAAAAGAGCGCAGCACCCATCTGTTGAAGGAAACAGACCTAAAATGTAAAAAATAAATTTAGAATTCATATTAACATTTTGAAAGCTTTGAGATAACTTCTGGAAACTTGATTGTAATCAATGACTTAAGCTACACTTTTTGCTCCTATTTAAATGTAGATAAATATAAAGTTCATTTTAGAAATGATAATGCTTTAGAACCACAGTTTTTTTTTATTCTTATTTATTTCAAAATAATAAAATTTTCTAAATTACTTATTGAAACATGAATATTTTAAAAGAATTTGTTTAGCAAATGAATTTTTGTATTTAAAGACAAATTTTTGTAAATGCAAAAGGAAATCCCAATTGTCAGTTGAAGAAGTTTTGTTGATAATTTTCACAGAACCATAGTCAAAAGTTTTTTCCCTCTGGAGAAGAACCTGTACCTCATCATTCTTAAAAATCTATATCAATCTAAGGTTGCCTTTTGCTTAATTTTAGTATTACAATAGCATGTTTCTCTTACAGTTAGAATCTGTAACTGTTCTACCAACTGAGTAATTTAACAATGAACATAGTTTTGTTACTTTGTGGTTAAGCCCCCCCCTGAAAAGTCACAAAAGATTTCATAAAGGAATGCAGGATTTCACCAAAATAGTTAAATAAAATCTGGCAACCTGCAATGTCCCCCCAAAGTATGTATGTGGTAATGCAGGTGTGCACATAGCACATGTACGTTTATTTGCACTTTGGAAATTTAAACATCTTCCTGATTAGTTTCTTTTTGCATTGAGAATATTCGTTTTTCTTCTAATGGCAGTACAGAATTTGCCAGCTGATGAAAAATAAAATCACTGCATTTCTGTAAAAATGACATTTTGCCCAACGATGGAGAATGCAAAAATTCACACTTTATGAAGTTTCACTGCTCGATTAACCAAGTTTTATGGAAATGCAATGGAAGAAAAATGAGAGTAAAGCATTAGAATGGAAGTCAGAAATTGGTTTGAAGATGATTTTCTTATTTACAATAGCTCTTTGCTTCATTTAACTCTTTCGCATCGAGAGAGGGCAAAATCTTTTTCCCCCAAACATTGAAAATGCCCCTGTCTACGAATTTCTCCTGAAATGCTTTTCCTTCCCCCATGACAAATTGAATACTACAGTGCTAACAATAGCCTATTTAAGTAAAGGGAAAACTTCGTTCTTGGACGCTTTCACCCTGTGTGAAGTTCACCCTTGGGAGGGATTGCAACTTCGGGCATCAAAAGCTAAACACTGACAGTAAACAAAGGAAAGAGAAGGTGCATTAAAATAATAGAACTACTTTTAGTAGCTTCGAAAGAATGACTGGCATGTCACTTAACAACACCTAAAAGCAATGAACGTGATGGGAGAAAACACTAGGTAGAAAATTATTCAGGCGTTTCGGGCGTCCAGCTGATGTCTGAATTAGGGTTTACCCTAAGAGCAATTTAAGCAACTTTGCAATTTATTTCATGAGCTCAGAAGGAATTGTTAAATATCTGCATTCTCCTTGAGTTTGCACTCATTATTGTACTTACCTGGACTTATTTAAAGAAACATCAATGATCCCACAGTTCACAACATGTTCTTGTAGTTAATAAAAGATGTTTCTAATATCATATATGACATTGGAAAGAGGGTCAGTTTAAACATCTAGCAAGTACCAGACCAGGCAGAGGACTAATTTATTTTGATTTCTTACATAAATTAAACTGCTGGGATGCTTTTAGCTTTTCTAATTCTCTAAGATTTCCCTCCAGGTAAGATTTAAAAATCCCTATTAATTACTTATTCTGAAAAATATTTATTTATGAAAAAAATATCATGCTGCCTTTATCAGAGAATATGCTATTCCTAAGATATCCTCATGCAAAAATAATGGATATAGTTTATAAATGTGTAAAAATAGTATAACCTAAACAACAGTAATTTTCACTGTACGAATATCGATACATTTTACCTGATTACATAAATTCAATTTGTTGATATGATTCTGATGCAAAACTAGTTTCACAAATTTTCCAATGATGTCAATGTAAGCAGTCCTGAGCTCTCTAGCTTTGTATTCCGTAAAAGCATTTTCTGAGAAGTAAATGTCCCTGAAATATAAAAACAAATATACAAATATTCAAAAAATTACTGAAATAGGATTTTTTGCAATATTTCAACAGTTTACATTGAACTGCATTTTACAGTATTTGATTTCAGTACAATTAGAGGAAGTTTAGTACTGATTTTCCTATTTGCCTGCATTATTTTACAAATATCTTATTAACACTTTTTAAAACAAATTCAAAATATTGATAATCAAAGCTTTTACTTACTCATTAACTGCTTTTAAATTTAAATACATAGTATATTTATTATAATACATAATTTTTTCGCCTTCCAATGGTGAGCACTAGCCACTATACTCATTGGCCACTACTAAGGCTGGAACCAGTGGTCACTTTTATGGAGGCACTTAATAGGTGGGCCATCACTGCCTCTTATGAAGGGACAGAAATTTAACATCCATGCGTTCTCCAGGATTTGAGCCTAGGTCCTTTGGTACAGCAGTCAAAGTCAGTAACCACTTTCCCATCTGGTGCCATGTCAAACAAGAGAAATAATAAACATTTATTTTAACAAAAGTGAAAATGAAATCTCCTTTCCCTCCTCAGCAAACAGCCCATTTTTATTCCAAGTATATACGTATTTTGTACAGGCATAATCTTGTTTTCCTCAAGTGGAGAAAGAATAAATATATAATATGTACATTTTGCTTTCTTAAAAGAAGCATTTGTTACAGCAGTGAGTCTTTAATGCAAGATATTTGCTAAATAAAATAACGTAACATGTCAATGAATTATTCAAGATAGTTGTGTACGGCATATTTTTCTCCTTACAACAATTTTTTTTAAGCCAATAATACTATTATACACATTGTAACAGCTTTAAATAGTATTAAAATCTTGTAGTTTAAATAATTTAAATAGATGAACATTAAGTTATTTGTGAATGGCAATATTTGAAACCAGACTCGAGTGCCACTCTCGCACGAGTGCGACTCTCGCACGAAGAATGTAATTTATTTTTAAATGTTAGAATATGTTTTCTCTTCTTGTTTGTATGTCGCCATTTTTTTTAGTGTTAAATAAAAGTTATTGCTGTGTTCCATCATTGGAGTTGCTTCATTTCGCCAAAGAAGTATCACAGTCTTAATTATTTTGGAGGCACCGGCGAGATCGAATAATCGTGCGTATTTTTATTTTATTAGTCCATCACTGAACATAATATTAGTGATACCAGATTATTACTTCCTGTTCATATAGAATTGCTTTATTTTATTAGTTCATCACTGAACGCAATATTAGCAATACCAGATTATTATTTCCTGTTAATATTAAATTGTCTTATTTTATTACCGTATTTGATATTATATTTAATATTCATTTTAGTTGTGCAGACGGTAGATATATATATTGCTCTATGTTATTATTCTTATTTTAATCACAATTAATGTGGTAGAGAGAATGAACTTCATATAATTTAAATATTTCATTTTTTGAGGTATACGTACTTAACAAAGTGCATTTAATTTCGTGATTCCTGACTGCATTGATTAATTAAAGTAATTGAATTGAGCTATTTTGAAAATATAAAGAAAACAGTGTTTGTTAATTTTAAACATAGAAACAATGTCTTACTTAGGAAGAGCTCGTAAGGAAGATTTGCAAAATCTCGCGGCTGAACTGGGAGTTCATGTGACTGCAGATTTGAAAATAGCGATTTAAAACAGAAAATTGTTGAAATGTAGAGATTATGATGAAGTATTCGTCAAAGGAGTCTTAGACACAATAATAGAAGAACGGAAAGTGAGGAGGAAAGGGAAGAACGGAAAAGAGGTGGAAAGAAAGAACGGAAAGAGAGGGAGGAAAGGAAAGAGAAGAACGGAAAGAGAGGGAGGAAAGGGAAAGAGAAGAACGGAAAGAAGGGAGGAAGGGAAAGAGAAGAACGTAGGAGACAGGAAGAGCGGAAGAGCGGAGAAGGAAAGAACAGTATGAATTAGAGAGATTAAGACTTGAAGCAGAGACAATGTCTCAAAATACCGGACAGATCCGGCCGAAAATGGAGCTGTGTCACCTTATGCAGAAATTCGATGACAAGTAAGGAGATATCAGTCTATATTTGCTATTGTATTGAAAGGCAAGCAGAATGGGCTAAAAAATTGATAAAGAAGAATTACTTCCTTACTTCTTATCATTTACTAGGACTACTTCCTTAACGAAGTAACCCAGTTAATAGCTATAGAACCCTCCGAATAAAGCTAAAGACTATGAACACATGAAGAATTTATTGTTAAGGCGGTTTAAACTAAGCCCGGAAAAGTTTAGGCAGAAATTTATGAAACATCAAAAGAGTACCGAATCCACATGGGTGGATTTCAATTATGAAATAGAAAAATTATTGCAAAGGAATGGGTGACTGGTCTAGGAGTTAAGGACTTTTGATCAGTTGCTAGATTCGATGGTGATTGACCAACTTAAGCGTCGAGTTCCTCCTGAAAGTTCGAGATCATTTTCTTGATGAGTGAGTAGAGATGATTTCATCTAAAAAATTAGCTGAAAAAATTCATGCCTGTGAAAACGTTCGTGGAAACTTTCAAAAAACGTCCTGTAGTGGATAAGGCAGAAAGAAAGATACAATGCACTAACTCAAAGGTAAAGTGAGTTCAGATAACAAAAATAAAACTGAAAAAAAAAATGTCATCAGGATTTAAGTCGCAAAGCTGGTTTCATAGACCTAGAAGTCCACGTCCAGATGATAAATATGAAAAACGAAAGACGCCACATGCTATCAGTGTGGGTCCTATCAACATTTAAGGCCCCAATGTCCAAAACTTAAGAATAGTACTGAATCTCCTGCTAATCTTAACAGAATTAGTGCAAAACCAGAGGATAAATTTCTATTACCTTATACTAGTTGGGTTACGTAAATGGTCATAAAATTCCTATATTAAGGGATTCAGGTGCTAGTATTGATATAGTTTGTTCGCAAATACATCACGCCGGAAATGCTGACAGGTTGAAAATGTGTGGGTGCAACAGCCATTAGATTGAATCCAACCTGTTTACCATTGGCTGAGATCGAACTAATTGCGATCTTGGGCGAGTAATAACTAAGGCTGCCATTATTAGAAATGAACTCGACAAAGGAAGGTATTTATAGGCAATCGAACTTTGCATGTTGAATAAACAAGAAAGGAGCCTGATAGTTGTCCTCACCAGGTTAATGCTGTCTTACTAGAGCTCAAAGGAAAGAGAAATAGCTGAAGAGAAGCTCTTGGAACCGATGAAGGAAGAAATAAAGCATCCAGAGATGTTTTTTGAAGAAGAAGATAATTTACCGGAACTAAATACGGAAGATGAAGCTCTCATGAAACTGGTAAAAATTGACTCAGAAGAAATTGCACAACTTCAGCTTGCTGATAAGGAACTGTCTAAAATCATCCAAGAAGTTAAAGAAGGTACATGCAAAAATGAGAACTATAGTCTGACAGGAAAAGAACTTTTAGTTAAAAAAACGACGGATAAATGGGCTTTGAAAGACAGCTTGTCGTTATACCTGAAAAACTCAAGCCGTCAATTATAAAGATGTGCCACGAAGGAACTTTGGGTCATTTGGGTGTCAAAAAGACCAAAGACAGACTTGCTAGATATTTTTACTGGACGAGGTGTTACAAAGAAACTGAAGATTTTGTAAGAACCTGTGATGCTTGTCAGCGCGCTGGAAAAGGAAATGACAAAAAGAAGGCTCCAATGACATTAGTACCAGTAATTTCCGAAATATTCACTAAAATAAATGCCGATGCCGTTGGTCCGCTACCACTATTTCAAAGACTGGAAAAAATATATTATTACAGCTCTGTGTATGTCGTCCAATATCCAGATGCTGTGCGGTGACAGACATTTCTTCGCCACTGTGATTGATGCTTTCTTACAGATTTTCAGTTGTATGGGTTTCCCAAAAGTGATCCAAACAGATCAGGGACCTCTTTCGTCAGTGCTTTGACAGAGGAATTTTTGGAGCGTTTCGGCATTAAACAGTAAGAAGCTCTGTGTATCATCCGCAGAGTAATCCCTTGAAACGATTCCATAGAACGTAAAAAGGGTGTAAGAGTCGTATGTATAGGAGCGGACTTCGGATTGGGAGAATTATCTACCATCAGTTCTTTTGCTCTCAGAACAGTACACACGAAAGCACTGGTTTTACACCAGCAGATTAGTTCAGGCAAAACCTACAACGCCAGTCACTTTACTTTATGAGCAGTGGCTAGAACCGATGAAGAAAGTAATAATGTTGTCAGGTCGTTTTCGAACTTATTAGTCGAATGAAGAAATGCCAAGAACTGCCGTGGAAACCTGAAAGAAGCTCCACAACGGAGGAAAACATGGTACGATCGAACGCAGTGAAAGAGAATTTGCTAGAGGAGATTTAGTTCTTGTTTTATCAATGAATCGTCAAAAATAAAACTAGAAGTTACAGTGGAAGGACCTGGAAAATAGAGCAGAAAATTTCAGAAACCAATATATGTAAGTTTCGAGGAAAAAAATGAGCCAAATCAAGTATATCACATTAACATGCTTAAACCATATTACAAAGACCAGAAATGATAATATGATAACTGAAGTGGAAGGAGACTTAGAAATGGACATCCTCGTTTTCCAATCCAAGTATATTAAATTTCTCGGACATCATAGAGGGAATGAACTCGAGAAAAGGTTGAAATCCGAGCAAATAGAAGAGTTTAAGCAAGATTTTATGGAAATATTCTGGTTGTTTTTCAAATAATCCTGACTAACAAAAACTTAGTTTGTCACATATTGAGCTATAAATAACGAACCAATACAAATAAAGCCATACAGACTGTCACCCGACAGAGAGAATTTTCAAAAAGGAAATACAAAAAATGCTCAATCTAAAATTATAGAGCCGGGAGAATCGGACATACATCTCCCATGATTTTGATAGAATCTTCATCAAAGGATCCTCGGCCTTGTATTGATTATCGTAACTCATGCTGTACTAAAACTGAATACTATCCTTTGCCTAATAT